CCCTAAAGCTTTAGGGAAAAAACCCCACGGATACTGCAGCTTTAAGACATTAAGGTTTAGATAGGACTCTTAGAGGTGGGCGAGGCGATTGGTGAGCCAGCCAATCAGTGAGCGGCAGGCGGGGCAAGTGTGGTGCGGACGGGCGGGGGGAGGAAGCTGGAGCTGGTTCTAAACGGCACGGTAGATTTGTGGAACCTCTTCTATAGTAGAGGTTAGAACTGGCAGGAACCCACCCCTGCCCCAGAGTGACAAAATGAAAGAGAGTAACTTGGAAGAGGGTATTAGTAGCTTGTTGGATCCTGGGTAGGTAGTTCATACACTGCAACGTCTTGTTGCAAGCTCTAAAAATAACTTTACAAGAAAGAGTTCGTCAAGTCTAACTTTGTCAGAAAGGCTCACTACAAATAATATTGTATGTGCTCGTTATTTAAAATTGCTAAAATGGGAATATTTGGGGATAATTCTTTGACACATGGGACTGTTTGGGAAGCATTCTTTAAAGAGATTTGCTACATAGAAATAAATAGATGGGCAGACAATTGTAGGAGAATCACGTGACTTGGAATTTGTTAGCAACTGTATAATGTGACCAAATGTGTAGACAAATAGTGTTAACAGTTAATTCTTACTGTTTCTCTGTTTCTGACTCATTGTTGATAAGATAATAAAAAGACAATTGATCAAAAGTGGCCTTTTGGGGGTCTCGTTCCCCTTCCCCCAATGAAATATAGTACTTAGAAAAGTTTCACTTGGATAAAAGAAAGAAACCCAAAGTTTGACAACTCTCCCAAGTGTATTTCAAGCTGGCCTCTCTAATGTGTGTTCATTTTAAACCCCAGCCTAATTTTAAGCCCATTTAAAAATCTATTCATGTTTCACGCAGTTTATAATGTGTGAGAATAAAAGCAAGATAACGGTAAAATATTAATGGAGTACACCTGAAGCAATTGCTGACTGTTAATGCCTTGACCTTGGAAAGCAATACACAAAAAAATGGCATCATAAAACCGTGCAAGTCTTATGAATATGTATGCCTACCTGATCATAATGAATGTGGTACAGTCATGCATGCACTACAAGATAATGTTGTGCCCTTTTTTGTCTGCAGGTTGATAAAAATTAAAGAGTGGGTGGACAAGCAAGACCCAGGTGCCTTGGTCATTCCTTTTAGTGGGGCCTTGGAACTCAAGTTGCAAGAAATGAGTGCTGAAGAGAAGCAGAAGTATCTGGAAGAGAACATGACACAAAGGTTAATTAGCATTCATTTTCCCTACACTTTATTATCAACTATTTCCTTGCAGTAATTTAATTGCTTGCGCTGATAGAATAATAAATGACAGAGTAATTACCATTATAAAGAGGGAATCTTCTCCTTTCTTTACCATGAGACAGAGTGAAAAGATTTATTTGAAATTAAGTTTTTAACTGTCATCTGTCATCTCAGTACAGTGTTTTAATTATAACATAGATATTAGTTGTATGTATATATATATATCTATATCTATCCCCCCCCCCCAAACAAGAAACGTCCACCCAATTCTATGGTCATCGTACACCAGGAGGAGGCTGAAAAGAAAAACGCTGGGTTTTTTTTAATTGTTGCAATTGCATCCTCTGAAAAGCAGCAGTAGGTTATTTCAATATTTTAAGTTGGTCAAAAAAAAAAGAAAAAAGAAAAAAAGAACCCGGTGATCTCAAAACATAGGGATTCCCGAAAAAGAGCCCTTGTGGAATCTGAAATAATCCTTTCTGCATTTTACAAGATTACAAGCCACACCAGGCCACAATTCCTGGGCTTGCATTTCATACGCTCTCCTTCCCAGAAGAACCTCTTGCAATTACCAATATGCATATAAGTACTAATGAGAAAGGTTCAGCAATATTCCCTCCCTCCCCCCCCCCCAAAAAAAGGGGGAAATATGCCTGAGACATCAAGGTCTCTTTTTCCCCTTCTCCCCTCTTGTGTATAAGTTGAACAGCCTTGTTTCGTTTTCTTTTAGCGCTTTACCAAAGATCATTAAGGCTGGCTATGCAGCACTCCAGCTAGAATACTTTTTCACTGCAGGCCCTGACGAAGTGCGTGCTTGGACCATCAGGGTAAGATTCATACTTATTCATCAGCTCTACCCAGTTCCACACTATTGAATTCAGATTGATATCACTGACTTTGAAGTTTGTCATGGTGGCGGTTAGCTAGTCATTACAGATGAGGGTTTTTGTCCAGGATAACTTTAATTATTTGTGAGCTGCTGAACAGTGAAAGTGGAGCTGCATTGATTGAGGCAGGTAACAATTGATTCTGCCTATTACATAGTCTGAATTTCTTCATCCTGTAGAATCTGTCTACCCTCCTCCTGTGGTCAGAGATAAGACATACCAGTATTGTACTTGCTTAATCTGTGTGACTGGGTTTGTCTGCAATGAAATTGATGTTGCTTTTCATTTTGTATTTGCTAAGTTTGTTTGGGTTGCAAGAGAATCTTCTTTCCCTCCTTTCCTTTGCTTGGACTACATTTTCAGCAATAAAAGCAGTATAACGTGATTATGCTCCTTACAGGCACGTGATTCTGCTTTTTTCTTTCTTATACACACACACACACACACACACACACACACACACACACACACACACGTTTAGGAGTAGTTTATTTCAATGGTTTTGTGTCTGCTCTATAACCAGTCCCTGTATATGCCTAAAAACTATTTTGATGTAGACTGATTACAGTCGGAGTAGCTAATTTATTCCCAGTGGACTGTAAAAGCTGAGCTGTATAATGGTTCGCTTTTTAATGTAAATATATTTTAATATAGAAGCGAGTATTTTTTTCCCCCAGATGCATGTAATGACAATGTCCGTACAGACTTTAATGAAATTGTATCAATTCTTTCAAGGTAGCAAACACAACATTTTCCTCCCTTAATCTGTTCTTGCTTCAATTATTTTAGCCATACAAGATATTATTGGCACTGCTTTTATATCGTCTCAGAATAATTGATCTCGGGCTATGCCAGTCTTCAGTCAGCTTCATTTTAAAATAAACGCTACAGATGCCTAGCCCCTTCAACAGTATGCTGAATTTTTGAAAGTGTGTTTAGTTTCCTATCACACTTGGGCTAAGCTCAGAATAGTGACTTCAAAGCTCTTTCTGCACTCAGGAGCAGGTTCTTCCCCTCCCTAGAAATCTGAAAGCTGGTTTACCTTAAGACGGATTGTAAGTATCTGTGATTTAATGTGCTGAGATATTTAGTCAGAGAAGCATCAGTGAGTAGCCATATTAACCCAATACATCTTTTATTATAAAAACTGTGCTTTGCAATGTCAGACTTCTTAGCACTTTAACATGGTTTGTTAAGCAGCCTTTAGGTCACCCTTATTTCTCAAATTCCTTTCCGTGGTGACTGTGTGCGCAGAGAATAGAGGCTCCTCGTGCAGATCAGCCCACGAAGCAATTCTAATGCATTCTTCATCATTTAAATGTGTCTGAGTCATTTGCATGTGTATAAGTGGTTGTGGATTGTTTATGGTGGTTGCGTTGTTTTGTAAATATGCAATTTAATGTCTTTCAAACATGCATTTGCTGCAGCTTTTGTTGTACATACTATATGTATATACCTGTTTGGGAGGATTTAGAGTTGGTCTCATGTTGTTTTTATTGAATTCCACAGAAATTATAAAAATTTTACCCAAGACTAAACCTGTACAGTTTTAAACATTATTGTCTTTGCTTATTTCTTTTTACTGTGAAGATTAGATTTCTGTTCAAATACACTATGTCCAAAATCAAAACAGTTGTTGGTATGTGTGGGAATGAAATAGCGAGACATTATTTAATACTTGTTTATTTCTTGTAGTAATGTCCATCAGTATTAAAAATTAATCATTTCGTTTCTTGACCTTTTAACTGATTGCAACTAAGTTTCAGAAGATATTGAAAACATTGCACAATATAGACATCTCTGTTGTACAATCAATTTTCCTAAAGACAATTAATTTTGTCTTGATTTGACAGAAAGGGACCAAGGCTCCTCAGGCAGCTGGAAAGATTCACACTGATTTTGAAAAGGGATTCATTATGGCTGAAGTAATGAAATTTGAAGATTTTAAAGAAGGAGGCTCAGAAGTGGCTGTCAAGGTAAGCTTTCCTTCCCAAATCTCTCTTATTACAAGACTTCACTCACTGAAAGTGCATCTGACAGTCAGTTCTAATAATAGAGATCAAATCTATTGTTGCTTTACATTTTGGCAAAGAAAACAGATGTACTGGAAAATGCTGTTTTAAGGTGTAACAATTATTGTACAAATGTGAGCAATTATGAGCCAGCACAAAATTAAAATTTTATGTTGGCAGTAGTACTGTCTAGCACTGCTGACTGTACTGATTAAAGATAATTATATGAAAGAACGATATGCCATTTTTAGATTATTTCAGAAATATAACACATAGCAGCCATTCATCCTTTTTTTAAAAAAATGAGGCTGTTTTGGGGGTGTGGCATGACAAAATGGCAAACATTTGAAGAAAATGCCTTATTGTGCACTTAACTGTACAATTATTCACCTGTTTATAGATTTAAGAAAACCTATCTCCTCTTAAAATCATAAATTTATATTAGAACAGTATCAGGATTTTCTGACTGGAATCATTGAGTTGTGATTTTATTATTAGTGCTTCAGAAATTAATGAAACGGTTTTATTCTAATAGATGGATGGGGGCTTTGACTTAATGAAGATGGGGAGTTTGATCTTGTTTCTAAACGCTAGAGGGCAGAGGCAGATTAGATGCCCAGAGTTATGCCCTACAACAGAGTTCCCTGTTTTGCAATTAGATCACAGCCAGCTCACTCAGATTTAGATTTGCATTAAATCTGTCAAGAAAGGATCTCAAAGCCTGAACTGAAATTGGAGTTCCTCTTTTCCGGAGAGCCTTGTTTCTGAGTGTTGGAAATCTGAAGAAGCAGGAATTCAGTCCTTAGCCAGCCATCGTGCTGTCTTTTTGTTTCATAGCATTGTAAAGGAGTTAAATTTAACGTCGTCCAATATTCAGAGCGTGCTGCCGAAATGCATTAAAAGGGTTTTTTCAAAATTGTATCTTATTGTCTTCTACTTGATAGCTTGTATAGTATGCAATAATGCAATTTCAAATGTAGGTTATTCTCAGCTGTATCGCTAAAGAAGATTGTATTGAGCAGCAGGGTTTTAATAGGTCTGTTTGAACCCCACGAAGTGTGGTGTGCAAAGAAGTGTGTGTGTGAGAGAGAGGGGGGGGAGAGGGAGGGGGGAAGAATCTCCTAGTTGGTTTGTGCTGGCATGTATTCCTTCTTGGGAAGAAGAAACAAATAAACAATAACCAAATCTTGTATTTTTTTCTTTAGGCAAAAAATGCTCATTCATTTGTCAAAGCATACACAATACCAAGAGCAGACATTCAACGAGATATGAATATCACATTGTGTATAAGCTCTATTGTGCTAATCAAACATTTATATACTGTATTTCTTCTAGATGCTTTAATTTTAATGCCTAGACAACCTGAGTATTGTAATATTGAAGCTGATATGCAAAAATAGAGCACCTTACTTTTCATAGAAATACAAAGTTCTAAGCAATTATGGCGTTAGAAAAAACCAAGCATTGCATGGACTGTATTTTGGAACCAATTAATAACATAAGCAATATAAGTTGCTAGTTATTTTTATTTATACTCTTAAGCTACTTTTTGGGATTTCCAGGTTTGTTGAGACAGCTATGGCTACTCTCTGTGTTATAAATCAGATAATTTTTAACTTTATTTTATATGTCTCTTAACCCTAGTACGGCATAACTAATTTAATGCCAGTGCTGTGAACTATACACTGAATAGCTCTGTGTGGGCTTTGTAGTCTACAGGGATATCACATTATTAGCAATCATATCTGCTTAGGCAAAGCTGGCTTCTACAGATGGCTGCTTTCAAGTGCAAATGAACTGGTTAGACGTGTCTTGTTTAATACATACTCAAGATTCACAAATGGGTATTGATTTTTTTTTCCCAGCCAGTGTTTCTGATAGCACTGAAAATGGATTAAATGGCGTCTAGGGAATTTAAAGGAACACAGTCTCTTTTAATTAATTGTGAACTGGTAGCTAAAATACATAATATTGTAGTACTATGTCAGAATGTATTTAATTAAAAGTGATTATGCCCACTTTGTGGAAACAATGCATTTGGCCACTTTGAATGAATGAAACAGACTATTCTGAGAATGCGGCACATTAAGCAAGTATCACCCAGTCTTTCTACCACATAAATGATACCATTTGCTGGCCGGCAACTTAGTTCCAAAGCTGGATGCCCACGAAATCCAGTGGCCGCTGCTTTTCTGTTTTACTCATCACTCCTTCCACTAGTTCAGCTTTCCTCAATATGCAAGACATATTGAGATTACACAACCCAGAATTTGGAAGAGTACTAAATTGTCAAAGATGGCAGCAGTTATTCCTTTCTCTTGTCCCTTCCTCTTAACCACATATAAAAGAAGAAAAGGATTGGCATAGTAGCGCATGGATCACCATGAATATATTACCTCCTTCTCTGGGCTACTTGTGCAAGGGTCTTATTTCATCCAGACTAGCTACCTTTTCCCATTGACTGCTATCTGAGAAAGTTGAGATGGCCCATTTTAAGCATCCTATGGATTGAAATGCAAATGATGTCAGAAATGAAGTAGGGAAAAGGAAGTCAAGGAATGTGCTAAAGAAAGAAGCCACACAATCCTGAAAATCTATAAGAAACCTTGGATGAAGCATTCAAGGAACTGCCCAAGAGTGCTATACCAAACTGTAATGCTAAAGTGGCAGAAAAAATGAGTATTAAACACATTCTGGAAAGCATGCAAGTTTTACATTGCAATACTGCTATCCGTTTTGATTTAATTATATAAATGAAAAGAAATCCAGTGAAGCTTAATGTGTGCTCAAAATACAATGTGAGAACATGTCAGACTGTTCTTATAATCCATTTCACTGTTGTATGGAAAAGAGCTGATATGGTGAAGGTACTGTTGTTAAAAATACACTCTAAATGCTAGTAATACCACATCTATCCTAGCTGCTTAATAAACTGCATAATCAATGCCTTTCCCATAAATTATCTTAAAAGTGTCTTTGAAAATTGAATTGTAGACGTTGGTTGCCATCTTCCTGGGGCTATTTTTGTAGAGAATGGGGCTGTACACAACTCCACAAATGATTTGGAAGGAGTGCTTCAGAACCTGTATGAACACTCTGCTATTATTTAAAGCAATTTTACATTTTTCTGGCCTTTTCACAAACCTGAGAAAGTTGTGGCTGCTTTAAGAGTTTAATGTCAGTGAGCTGACTGCTCAAACAGCAGACTTTTAAAAGTTGGATGCCTCAATGAATAGCTGAGAGGTGCTATATGTGCACTTCATTATTAATTAAAGTGCTTCTTGTAAATCATTTCCAAGTGAACACAACCTTAATAATAAAAATAAAAATTAGTTCATCACACAGCCTTGCATTCCATCCTTATCTGAATCAGCCTGGTTCCTATTTTCTCTGAAATTGGTCATGCAGAGCAGATCTATCAGTCCTATATAACAAATTAACTTCTAAGAAATATATATATTCTAAGAGTATATTTTTCAGAATGGTGTGATTTATTTGTGTAACATCCAATTCTTTCTGAATGCTAGTTACAACATAAAAACTAGGGTCTGTTTGCACATTTCTAAATGTATTACGCTGAAATATTTATTCTTTTCTCTTCTTAAATCTGCCCTATACTTTATGGAAATGTTAAGTGCTAGCATTACTTTTTGACTCTCTTGCTTACATCTACTTATGACAGTTTTTCTCTGTCATTTTTCACTTTCTGGTTCTTTCTGTTCATTCAATTGTTTTGAGCACTAGAAACTTGAGTAAAGATAAGGATCATTTGCTTTATTTGGATGCTGTACTGTTTAGGTGAGGCCAAGGGGGTGATTTTTAACCTGTATATTTTACTTTTTTACCTTGGATTGTGAAGTAAAAAAAAAGTTTTTTATGACAAAAGTTACTTGACATCTATAGGAGATCTTACGTTATTATAACATGGACAAGCTAATTCTCAGAATCCTTTTATGGCTCCCTAGCATTTACAGTATATAATGCAGCCTTTTTTCCCCTCTTCTTTTTGTGTACATTACGATCATATTTATAAGTATATCACAAAACAGAACACAGCCATTTTCTCTTGTAATTCCTACCATAGTTCCCTGAACCCAGCTACTGTGATTGACATAAATGTGCATATTTAGAAAAAGAAGTGTTTATAGTTACTAGATTGTATAGAACTTCATTGATGGAGATAGAATAAAATAAATGTCTTTCTAAAATGACTTTCTAAATTTTGTTATTCTCATACTATACAGTGTTGGGTCTTAGAAAATAAAAATTGTAAATTTTGGAAGGTATCTGAATGACTATTAGTCCAACCCACTGTCCATTACAGGCATCCACTAGTACAGCATCTCAGACAGACCCAGCCTTTATTTAAATTTGTCCCATAAAGAAGTAATCACCAATTTCCATTATGGTATATTCCATTGCTGAACAGCTATTACAGCTAGGACATTTTCCCCAAAGACATACCAAAATCTGCTTCCTTGAAATTTAAACCCATACTTTGTTGTTTTGTCTCATTCCCTGAATGTTTCTGCCCAATATTCTATATGACAGTCCTTCAGATGCCTAAAAATATGGAGTCTTGCCTTCTCTTGGCCAAACTTAATCAATGCATCCCATCACTCTTGTTAAGTTTTTCTTTCCATGCCTCTTATCCTTTGAGATTTTCTTTTTGTGACACACTGTGGTTCCTTAAATGTTCTTCCTAATTCCTAATCCTGGTTACCATTTACTTGTACGTCAACTTCATAGCAGTGAATAAATAGTGATTATTAATGCCAATCCAATTTTGCTCAAATCAAGAAGTTTAAAGTTTACCAAACATTTATGAATTGTACTGAGAACACGTATTGTTTTTAAAAATAGCATTATTGGTTCTTTAAACAGGCACAGTTTTAATACCATCATCTGTTTTTCTATGTCTCCTAGGCTGCTGGAAAATACAGACAACAAGGCCGAAATTACGTCGTTGAAGATGGAGATATTATCTTCTTTAAGTTTAACACACCTCAGCAGCCGAAGAAAAAATAACTATTCAATCTGTTCATTATTCAGAATTAAATTCTATTACTTAAAAAAAAGCATATGAGTTTTTATTTAGATGGGGATATCGTGTGGGGGCGGGAAAGATGCGAAGTGTATTTCTAACAGTGAAGAATCCCCCCATATCAAATCCCTAGTGTTTGTTTTGAATTAAATCATGACACCTCCAGTGAACGTACAAGTTCACTTAAATGTGAACAGCTCTGCATTTCAAGTGATTAAGACTACTCCGAATTGCAGGAGCTTCCCAGGAATCATATTACTCTCTTGATACTTCATTAATCTCCATCATATATGCCAAGCCTGACATGTTTGACAGTGAGGACAATGGGGCTTGCTCCTTTTTGAATCTACAGATAATGCATGTTTTACAGTACTCCAGATGTCTACACTCAATAAAACATTTGACAAAACCAGCCTCTGTGTGTTTGGGGATGTCTGTATTGACTGAATGGGGTGTGCTGAATGCGATATGGCACCTGGTGGATGCTGATTACAGAAGTTTAAGACGTGTGTGTGATACAGAAAGTGGCGTTGTGGGGCAGCTACAATTGTATCTTAAGAGAAAGCCTTCTTTTGCAATCAGTTGATTAGGACGGCTTAGCAAAGTTAATGTGTTTGGAGATTGTGGATTGTGCAGTTCACTAGAAATCTAGAAGAAATTATGTTTCTGTAGGAAATGGAGTAAAAATCTGACAGAAATTAATTATGATTTAAGTGACCTTTGAGAGAAAGCAGACTGGGCTTTTGAATCCAGTTCTTGGAATACTTGAACACAATATTCTGAATGTGACTTTCCTTGAAAACTAAATTGTATGGTTCTAATGCACTGTGCTGTTCTCCGAGAATAAGGTAGCAGGTTATTGACAGGGACGTTGAAAATAATCTTGAGAAGAGAAAGGCCATGTTACTTTCATAAATTCGATATTTCCAACAAGATTCTACAGCTAAGTAGTTTTTGATGAATTGTGGGAGAACAAATCAATGTATAGGCTGATGTGTATTCTCTTTAGCCTCTTGGTCACTATTTTACAGGTAGTCCTCAACTTACAATCACAGTTAAGCCCAAAATTTATGTTAAGTGAAAAATTTGTTAAAGGAGTTTGCTCCATTTTATGACTTTTCTCCCCTCATTTGTTAAGTGAACCACTGCGGTTCTTAAATTAGTAACACGGTTGTTAAGTGAATCTGGTTTCCCCATTGACTTTGCTTGTCAGAAGGTCGCAAAAAGAGACCACATGATTCTTGTTACTACCTTAACAACTGCAGTGACTCACTTAACTGTGACAAGAAAGGTCGTAAAAATGGGGCCCAAACTCACTTAACAAGTGTCTCACTTAGCAACAGAAATCTTGGGCTTAACTGTGGTCGTAAGTCAAAAACGATCTGCAGTGTAAATTCTGTTGTGTTCCCTGTAAGACCCTTTGAACATATATCCCCATCTTGCTCTTCTTTTTCAAAGAAAGCATCATCACTCTGCAGAGTGCAGAGAAGGAAGATGAAATATTCAGCTAACAGAAAGAAAACTGAGATGAGAAAAAGAAAAGAAAAAAGCTATGTTTATATTAATACCACTCACTGTATTTCCTTGTCCTTCTCTATCCTTGCTTTCTACTTATCATCCTTGCTTTCATCATGTTCTTGTGTGGTTTCAATATATTACCTTAATAAGCATGACTAAGTTCAGGGTTCACATTTAAATAGCTGCACATCTGCTGCTTCAGTGTACAACCTACAATTAGGAATCTTATGTCATTTCCTCAGTGTTGGCTATGGTCCCTGAACCTTTTCCAAAGTTGCTTCTCAGCTATACGTTTTTTTTAATGCACAGACGGGAAAAGTTATTAAATATATCAGGAGTTAATGCATACTAACTAGATTATTAATTTTAATTCCTGCCCACTTCTGGGCTGAAGGAGGAATATGACCCTTGGCATTTCACTGAAAGGCTGAGGATATTCCATTTCCAGGAAAAAGTGCCATCTTGTTCTAGATCAGGGTTCTTCAAACTGCTCAATATTAACTCCCCTCCTCCATGGTTAATGGGACTATCTGAGGCATCAATGTTATGATTCATAATACTACCATGTTTCCCCGAAAGCAAGACGGTCTTATTTTCTTTTGACACCCCCCCCCCCGAAATAACCACTTGGCCTTATTTTTTGGGAGGTCTTATTATTTTTGAGGTGCAGGAGGCAGAGAGAGCATGGTCACTTCATGGCTGCTGCTGTGTTGCGATGTTTTCAGGGAGGGCTTATTTTCAGGGGAGGGCTTATTTTAGCACATGCGCTCAAAAGCCTGATTGGGCTTATTATCCGAGGTCGTCTTATTTTCAGGGAAGCAGGGTATTAAAGTCGTCTTTATGTTTATATAATGTTTGTGTGCTGATGAACAATCTGAAACTTCATGAAGGGATTGATGAGCTGAAGAGTTTTGGGGCCCCTGATCTAGATCAGAGTCCTGTTTATAATATTACTGATCCTGGCATCTGTGTCGGTATTACAGATGGTGTTGGGAATGCTGCTCCTATTGTTTGGTCACTGTAGTGGAGAAAAGTTTATTATAAAAAATTAGCTCACAATAAGACATGGTGCTTATTGTAAAGCAGGGTATGTTTTTTCTCTCTTTCCCCTGGACACTTAAGCCTTGCCACCATCATCACCACACCAAATATGGGTTCCAGGATGTCAGGATCATCATATTTGATTGTAAAGTGGTACCATGTTTAATAATATAGACCGAAAAGTCACCACAATGGAAACATTAGCTTGTGTAGTCCAAGTTCTTTTACCTGCATTGTTGGGAAACGCAGCACTTGACTAACCCTAATACTTTAGGCACCTATAATTCAGGGCAACAGAAGAACCAATCATTTGAGAAACATTTGGATGTGATCGCTGGCACAACCAAATATGACACCTTTGAGTAGCTTTCTCTTTTCTTTTGAAATGGGAATCCTCCAATTTAATTTTTTTCCTCTAATACATTCCTCTAATTTTTGTCTGTCTTGGATTGTGACTTTGAAAGCTGAGCTTATCTTAGGAATGTGTCATCCTACACATTCCATGTGGGACCACAACTTTCTAAGATGTTGGAAAGCTTTTTTGTAGAAGAGTAGTCAAGATTAGTAATCCAGTAATATGTTTGTTTTGAACCCAGGATTCTTGTGTACATATTGCAAAGAGGATGGCTTGGGGGTTGATTAGTTGATCAGTTATGGGCTAAAGATCCAGGGCTTTGCCACTGGTCTATTATCCCTTTATTGACAGAGAACAATACAAGGAAGATGTTACAAAGTCTTACAGTGTAGATTTTTAATTATTACTTCTTACTCTAAATTATGAAAAGGCCAGAAATGTATTCTTTTTACGTACTTAAGATGTGCTAACTAGAAATCGGTAAGATGCTACAGCCAGGGGTGGGATTCAGCCGGTTCGGACTGATTCGGGTGAACCGGTAGCTCCAATGATCAGCTGAGAGCGAACCAGTTCACTCCTACGATCAGTTGGGCCCGCCCACCCTTGTGTTTTACTTACATATATCATCTCAGCTCATTAGCGTGGCAGAGTGAATTACAGTGCTTCCCCAAGAAATAATGTGGAAGGTAAGTTTTGGCAAAACTGCACGCATGCAACAAAACATGGGATCACTGAACCGGTTGTTAAACTGGCAGGATCCCACCACTGGCTACAGCACATCTGAATCTGGGTTTGAAGTGGGTTGTGGGTGCTGATCTGTGTTGCCAGTTATACCAACAGCCCTCTTCTAACAGCCAAGTATTCCATCTTTCACCTTCACTTTTCACTTAAAGCTTTCTATGTAGATAAAAAGCACACTAGCTTAGTTTTATAAAATAACTGGTTTACAGTGTAAGATTCCGGATACCCGAACAAAGAGCGTACAGACACCTTTAGGAAATTAGAACATGATTTCTCTCACCCTAACTCACTTCACAGGGTGGTGGTTGTGGGGAGTTACAATGCAACAAAGGGTAACAATACTTTAGCTACAAGTGAAGTATCAACAAAGTAAAATCTGATTCTTGCAATGTTTGTGGTTGGCTTCTATGATCTTTTCAGAAAAAACTACCTTCTCAAAGAGGCATTGACACATGCGGATAGGTTTTGAGAGTCGAAAGGGTGGGCTGCTCTGTTGAATAGTTTTTGGAATTATGACCTAAAAGTACACGGATGCTAGAAATTCTTCCGGCAGCTTCTGATTAAGTTCTGAGTTGATACTAAGAAGCTGAAGCCTTCCTTGTTAAATGTCTCGTTTTATATGAACTTGGAGGAATATTTATTCAGTAGAAGTTGGAAGAGCCACATTAATAGATTAGATGCTCATAGCTAATTATATTTCACTGACTATTCTCCCTTCTGTTTCAGGATGTCAAAGGCCATTCCGTTTTCCGCTATCCCATCTGTCACTCGGCCTCTCTCCCTGTGCCCACTCCTTTCTTTTTCTTTGTCAGTTAAGCAGCAGAAGAATAATCACTGTCAAATGCAGTCCTAAAAATAAGCTGGTAGGGAGCGCATGTACAAATACATAACATGAACTCTTGAATAACTATAATCAACAAACACGGAAACAAGAAATAATCAGAAAATGCAATGGTGACAGGTTTAATATTTCAAGCGTATTAAGAGAAAATTAATCCAGAGCTTTTGTTTCACCCAAAATGGAACCTATGCTCTGAGATAAAATCATTAGCAGTCTTGTATCTATGAAAACCTCTTCTGTTTTAAAATATGGGGCTCTTCCGTCTGCACTAAAACTTTAGAACATCAATGCATTGATTTTGGAGGTGTGTGACGGCTTGCTCAAGTTTAGGCATTAATCTCTGAGGCAGATAATAGTTGTATCCTACCCCCACTTCCTAGAATCAGTTTTAGATTTAGAATAACAGAGTTGGAAGGGAACTTGAAGGTCTTCTAGTCCAACCCCCTGCCTCGGCAGGAAACCCTACACTTCAGACAAATGGTTATCCAGCATCTTCTTAAACACTTCCAGTGTTGGGCCATTCAGAACTTCTGGAGGC